TAAAAAAAAAAACATATTTTCATTCTTCATTGATGTCTTCATCATTACTAAACCCATTATTTTTGCTTCTAATATGCCACATTTGATCAAATCTCTACATTTATTATCAATTACCTAAACTATCCTATACATCTATTTTTCTCCTTCCTTGGTACCAAGCCTATTATATAAATTATTAGATTGCTTAACTAAATTGATGAATGCATCTAATGTAGAAAACTAGAACATCAAACTTATTTTGAAAGCCCCATTATAAGATCAATATCAAGTGTTCAATCTAGGTTCGTGGGCTAATCTACCATCATCAAACAGATATCAACTACAAGCTTTGACAGAGAAGAAAAAAATATATTAATAATTAAAGTTTAAAATAAAAAATTTAGTCCAAAATTTAGAATTTTGAAAGGGGGTGAGAGGAACTGTACCCAATTGATCTCCAATCAACTAGTGGACAACCAAAATACTTCATAATCAGATCTAAAGTTAATTAAAATGAAGAAAAAAATATTTTTAAATTATTCCATATGAAAGTAATAAATTAAATGTTAATTATTTTAACATTTTGGACTAAAATTTTGAATTCCAATCCATAACAAGGCTCTTTGCTAATGCTTGCTTCATGATAAAAACATAATGTTCTACATCAATCTCAACTTCCCAAAAAGGAAGTCCAAGAAGTTCACCTGCAATATAGACATGCAACCCCCATTTGGAGAGCCAACGGTGCCTTAGGCATAAATGAAATGCCATTGCAGAGTAATTTGAATTCAACTAATTTATTGAAAACTAAGGAGACTTATAAAATAAAGCACCCCATCTATTACGAGAAGTGCTAGAGTTTTGAAATTTACCAAAAATTAGAAATTTACACTACTTGACCTCTAAGGGTGAGCAATAATTAGGCTACGTCCACGATTATTAGAGGTACTTAGAGGTACCAGTTCAATTCATGAAAATAATATGACTGAATGCATTAATACCTCCCAAAATCCCACATCGGCGGGGGACTAGTGCAATAGGCATGACAATTCGCTTAAACACAAAGAAGCCATTCATACAGTATAAGTCTATGTACCTAAGCCTCCCCTTCCTCCCCAATCTCTAAGATATTGCATTAGAGAGAGCATTGTGCACCAGCCACACCTCATTGCTTGAACAAATCATGCTGGAAAACTGATATGAAGCACTTGAGTTCGCAAGTAACCCTAAGGTAATACTTGAGTTTGCAAGAAAACCTAACAAAGATTGGCAAAAACAGTGAGAAAAATGGCTGATTTTAGAGATAAACCAGCAAAAACCAAGCAGGAAATTTAGTAGATTGGAGAGGAAACACAAGGGAAATAACTTTGATTCAATCCACGAACAAGAAAAACAAATCAAGATACAAATTTCTTCAATTCGAGAGGGAGAAACAACTCTCTAAATCTCTAGCAAAGCCTAGAGCCCACACGAAACAAGACCCTAGATCTAAAAATTCAGCAAATCTCAAGATCCCCTAAACTCTATGATGCGGACATCTGATCATGAAGATTTTCAGAGGAGACGACGATCGACGGTCGAGATCATTCCACCTTATCTTAATTTGTTATTTGTAATTTTTATTTTAATTATGAATTTTTCGTTTTTACCATTACTTAAGAGGGTCGTCCTATGTAAGCCCTAGGGGCATATGTGTCTTGTATTAGTTTCTTAGGCCTATATATAGAGGCTCTTGCTTGTGTAATGTAATGATGGATTATTAATAAAATTTTGTTTGCACTTGTGTTCTTTGTAGAGAACTTGGGTGAGATTCTTATGAGAGAGAATAGGAGTTTCCACCAGCCGCAGGATGGATCCGGGCTCGTGGCTTGAAGTCCCTTGAAGAAGGGCAACGTATTGCCCGTCAGCTGCAGGATGTGTCCGGGCTCACGGTTATATTTTTCTTTCCCTAAATCATTTTCTCCTCCTCCCTTCACCGCAGGCCAAAATCCCCCACTTGCCACTGGCCGATTCTCCCACAAACCCCTCCAAAGCCACAAGCCTCCTCCAATTTATCCATATCAACTGCTGGCCATAAACCACTCCACCACCACCTCCTAGTCGGCCACCCCATCTCCTCCCATCCTCCTAGCCACCGACCACCCCATCCCTTTTTTTCTCTTAATGATGATTTCAATCATCACTAATACCTACCAAAATTAGCCTACCCAATTTGGGGTAAAATTAAATATATTTGAAATTCAAATTTGAATTTCAAATACTTTCCTAATATTAACTAAGCTAAATTAGAAAAGTTCCTAAATTTAAGTATAATTTGATTTTAAATTAGATTTAATTTAATTACTCTTTTCCTAATTTAGAATCATGATGTAGGAAATTTTTAATTCCCTCCCAATTCCCCTCTCCCCATTAATTACCACCATTATATCCTTCCTTAAACCGCCGGCCTCCCTCTCACTTCTCATTAGATCCCAAATTAAATCCCCATTAGTTATTTCCTTATTTAATTGATGTCTTCATCATTACTAAACCCATTATTTTTGCTTCTAATATGCCACATTTGATCAAATCTCTACATTTATTATCAATTACCTAAACTATCCTATACATCTATTTTTCTCCTTCCTTGGTACCAAGCCTATTATATAAATTATTAGATTGCTTAACTAAATTGATGAATGCATCTAATGTAGAAAACTAGAACATCAAACTTATTTTGAAAGCCCCATTATAAGATCAATATCAAGTGTTCAATCTAGGTTCGTGGGCTAATCTACCATCATCAAACAGATATCAACTACAAGCTTTGACAGAGAAGAAAAAAATATATTAATAATTAAAGTTTAAAATAAAAAATTTAGTCCAAAATTTAGAATTTTGAAAGGGGGTGAGAGGAACCATACCCAATTGATCTCCAATCAACTAGGGGACATCCAAAATACTTCATAATCAAATCTAAAGCTATTTAAAATGAAGAAAAAAATATTTTTAAATTATTCCATATGAAAATAATAAATTAAATGTTAATTATTTTAATATTTTGGACTAAAATTTTGAATTCCAATTCATAACAAGGCTCTTTACTAATGCTTGCTTGATGATAAAAAACTTAATGTTCTACATCAATCTCAACTTCCCAAAATGGAAGTCCAAGAAGTTCACCTGCAATATAGACCTGCAACCCCCCATTTGGACAGCCCACGGTGCCTTAGGCATAAATGAAATGCCATTGCAGAGTAATTTGAATTCAACTAATTTATTGAAAACTAAGGAGACTTATAAAATAAAGCACCCCATCTATTACGAGAAGTGCTAGAGTTTTGAAATTTACCAAAAATTAGAAATTTACACTACTTGACCTCTAAGGGTGAGCAATAATTAGGCTACGTCCACGATTATTAGAGGTACTTAGAGGTACCAGTTCAATTCATGAAAATAATATGACTGAATGCATTAATACCTCCCAAAATCCCACATCGGCGGGGGACTAGTGCAATAGGCATGACAATTCGCTTAAACACAAAGAAGCCATTAATACATTATAAGTCTATGTACCTAAGCCTCCCCTTCCTCCCCCATCCCTAAGCTATTGCATTAGAGAGAGCATTGTGCACCGGCCACACCTCATTGCTTGAACAAGCATGCTGACAAACTGATAGGAAGCAATTGAGTTCGTAAGTAACCCTAAGGGTAATACTTGAGTTTGCAAGCAACTCTAGCAAGGATTGGCAAAAAAAAAAGTGAGAAAAATGGCTGATTTCAGAGAGAAATCAGCAAAAATCATGCAGGAAATTTAGTAGATTGGAGAGGAAACACAAGAAAAATAACTTTGATTCAATCCATGAACAAGGAAAACAAAGCAACTGACAGCTATAGCATAAGACCGGTCCCCGTTGGACCACTTCAGCTGGCCCCTCCTGGGCCAGCAACATAACACAAACCCTATAAACATTATAAATAGCTCTAAAAGATGTAGACCTTCCTAAACTAACACAATCCTTCGACTCATTTGTTCTAACCACTTGCTAACCAACAACTCCCCATTTTCCTAGCTTCATCTATGACTCTCAATTTGGATCCTCAATTTTTGGCTCTACAATGCTACCGTTTACATTTCCTGTTCTCCTAATTTTGTGGCTCTATCAATGACCAAATATTTGTTATGTTGTGATCCTTCATAGGCTTTCCACTCTACAGCTCTTCGAGGAGCATCTTATGTTTTGATTTATAGCTTTCATCCTCTATTATTCAGCTCTGGTAATTGGATTTATCCATTCATTACAATAATTTAGGGACTTTGGTGATTGAATCTTCTATGATTTTGTATTCATGCATGGCAATACAAGTTATATTAGGATTTTAAAGCTGCAAAAGACATGAATTTAGTTCAGAATAAGATTTCAATTAGAAGTGTAATTTCGTCTATAGCTAGTAGTCAAATTCTTGATCAAGTGAAACTGAAAGATTTTCAAGAAAAGTAATCTCATGATGTAAAAACGAGGCAACATTTCTAGCTTTTAATGATTTATTTGCTTTTACTTTTATTTATTATCCTAAAATTTGTCATTATAATGATTGTGTGATTGATTTTACCCATGTTTGATACGACATGGCTTTCAACAAGTGTGTAGTTTCAGCTTGGTGCATGGTTTTATTGGTTATGGATTTCAAAGTGTTGCTTCTAGTAAAAAGCTAATGAATTATCATCTGAAATGATTTTTTAATAAATTTGTTTTTCACGAAAGTTGCAAAAAGTTCTTCAAATTACTCTCTCCCTTTCCTTTCTCTCTGACTGATAAATAAAGCTTTGCTCACAGAACATAAATAATGAAAAGTTTAAAGAGGATCTCAGAAAGAAAGAAGATAGCTATCACTTTAGTAGGCTATTTGAGGTCATCCTTTGAACCCTCCTTTGCCACAAGTTAAAAGTTATTGGTTAGGTTTCTAGTAGAAATGGAGTTTTTTTTTCCTTGGTAACAATTAATAACAACATGGGAAAGTATTAGTATGCAAAACCATACCTGAAGTACAACTGACAATGCTTCAAGGATAAAAACTCCAGACGATATAAATAAAGGAAAAAACATCCCTGTGCAAGCAGCCATCGCTGAAAGAGCTCCACCCAATCCTAATGACCCAACACCACCCAAGAGTATGGAAGCCTTATATCGATTGTGGAAAAGAAATCCCACGCTTGCTCCAGCCATGGAGGCTCCGAAAACAGCAAGTTCTACACATGGTTTGAACAAAAGAAAAGAAAGACTATTACTCAAGCTATTACAAAACAGACATAAACTCATCACAATTTATAAAAAACTTACATCGCAACAGCTTCCAAAATAATTTCATACAATATAGTTCGATTAAAATTCAATCAAAACCATGAAGTTCAACAAATACGTATATTTGAACATAAAATGATGTGCATATTGCTAGTAGATGCATTTTAGGTCAAACATAATGCTAAATTGCAACCAAATGGAGAATATAAACTACTGAAACGTACTTGCATCAACCTCATCACGTCTCCTATATCTTTAAAGCAAAAAATATAAGATGGTCAGTTTGGTCACTAGATAGATCAGTAAAGATGCAAAACATGATAGTAATTTGATCATCATCAAAAATAATATGATCATTAAACACACACACACACATATATATATATATATATATATATATATATATATATATATATATATGGTCTTAAAATACCATGCCACTATATACATAAAAAAAAATTGTAGCTATTGCTTTGCACATTTATACTCTTTGTACCTCTAGCTTTTTGATAATTATTATATATCAAGCTTATTATATAGATAATTAAAAATTGTAGTTTTTGCTTTGCTCACTATACCCATTGAAAAATATTTAAATTTATATAATAATTATAAGCTTAAACAGTGTACACATACCTCATTATTAATACAACTACACTAGGTCCATTTTGTCTCACTCAATGAGCATGAATGTATATTAGCAGTGTCTAGTACTTTTACTACTAAAATTGCGATGAGAAGGCCTTTTGCTTTCCTACTAAATTTTTATTTGAATCTTGTAAGTGGTTGCAAGCATCTCAAGCCCTCCAATGCCTTCCCCTCTCTCAATAAACATCTCTTGGGCAAAAAAGGGGGATAAATTCAATGGGAAAGAAGGGGAAATTTTCATTGGGGGAAGAAGAGATTTTTTCATCCCATCTGCAAAAAGCCGTTGATAAACTTTAATGAAACAACTTCTAAATCACATGGAAAAGAGATCTACTTGGAGCTATTTACAAAGGTAACCAGTAACCTTTGCATGTAGGGTGTGAAGACATGACCCGACCCGGAAAATGACCTGAAAATTTCTGGGTTCGGGTCAACCCATTGTCATATGGTTCGGGTTCGGATTCAAGATTCCAACTCGCTTCTAAAACCGGGTCAAATTCAGGCTGACCCGAAAATTCGAAATCAACCCGAACTAACCTGAAAACCCTAGCATGCATGTGAATACACGATCCCAACTCTATCGCTTCCACACCAGCCTTGCATGCAGGCCTCGTAGTGCCGCACTCGCTGGCTTCGCTCGGGCATGAATTTGCGTGCCGCATTCGGCGTGTTGCGCTCAACGCTCGATCCCGAGCCACACCCACTGGCCTAGGGCTGCAAACGAATCGAACCGAGCCGAGTATGTGAGTGTTCATGTTTGAGTTCGTTTATTATTAACTTGTTCAAGTTCAGTTCATCTTTGATTCAAGCTTTATTGTTTGTGTTCATGTTTGATTCGTTTAAATTAATGATGTTCATGTTTGGTTCATGTTCGGTTCGTTTAGTGCTTATCGAGCTTTAACGAGCTCTTCTTGTGAACATATTTAGCGAATTTTTTTAAACGATTAAACAAGCAAGCATGTACATGAACAAATCTAAGGAGTATTCTTGAGCTATCAAATGAACAAGATCTAATGATGTAATATAATAAATTATCAATTGTAAGGAAATTAAAATTACAACATATATTATAATATTCAATCACTTTAAAATTTATTAATTAAGAATAATTATATCATTATATTATAATAAATTAAAATATTTATATTATGTATATTTATCAATTTTATAATTAAATATTAATCGAGTTTTTATAAAGCTTATTCATGAGTTCTGAATCAAATATGAATCGAGCTTTTATCGAGCATGTTCACGAGCTTCAAATGATATTGTTCGTGAACATAAATGAATCGAATACATTAGTGTTCAAGCTTGTTTATTTAAGGATCGAGTATTAAAAATGTTGTTCAAATTTGTTTAGTTATTTAAACGATCACAAACGAGCTTTAATCGAACCGAGCAACGAGTAGCTTGTCGAACGTTTGGTTCACTTGTAGCCCTACACTGACCGCTCCGCACCGCATTGGATGGCCGGCACGCGCTTCACCAATTCACCCGCTCGCAGCCCTCCGACTCCGTCGCACTCATGCCCACGCAAACCAGGTTGGTGGGTCAATTCGGGTTTACCCAAACCCAAACCAATTCGGGTTCGTATTCCCAACCCGTTTTCATAGCCGGGTCGGGTTCGAGTTGGGTTAGCTGATAGTAGGTCAAGTTCGAGTTGGGTTAGCTGATAGTAGACAACTCTATTTAAATATTTTTTTCAGCATCAACATCATATAATCATTATCATTTATCCTGACCATGGTTTAAAATTGCGCAATATGAGGCTTGCCTTGAGGTCCGCCTTTGCGCAATTCCAATAAAAAACGCCTCGATGCATAAGCCTCAAGTTTTTTATGAGGCTTGCGCCTCAACTTGGTTGAGGCCCGCCTCGCCACACTGGCATGAGGCTTATGCCTCACGCTATATATATTAAAACTTACATAAATCTTGAAGTAAATGGCCGACATTGGACTCTATAGGAGAGGAGGAAGGGGAGAGAGCAATTCACCATAATGATGATTCAAATGAAGAACCCCTTAATGATGTCATTGCTATTTATTTTTGGAAATTAGAATTATATGTTAATTAAAAGAATATTGGGATTTGGGAAAGATAGAATTTTGAGTTGAATTATATTTCATGTTGTCTTATTATTGAGATATTTTGATTTCACTTCATATCTTATATTTTTTTATGTTTTATATTATTCACTTATTAGTATATAAAAATTTTATCATTTTATATTTACTCAATCTTTTGATTTTGAGGCTTACGCCTCAAAATGCTTTGAGGCTTACGCATCGCCTCACGAATGAAAAACGCCACAATACCCGAATACGCAATTTTAAACATTGATCCTGACTCATTATGATTGGATTTATGAATCATCTTTCTATTGGTTGAGCATTGAATGAGATGTTTATTTTATCATGCACAAATATTTGGGCACGGCTTCTAGCCAAGCAAGCTTTGTTATGAGCCATTCACCTTCTTAATATTTTCATGTTATTTTTCTCTACCTATCTTATTAGTATATCTTCTACCCCTATGCATTAATTTTTCACTCTTTTATCCACAATAGATGATAATCTCACCAACATGCTAATATAAGGGCTTTAAAATTATCCTTCAATTAACCACGAATTCATCTTAATATTATTATTTAAATCACATTCAACTTGTGATACAAGCAAAAATATAGGGAGACCACTACTTTTTGCAAGCAAAAAATAACACTTCCTAGGAAAATAAGAAAATAAAAAAATTCCACAAAAATAGATAACTTTATAATATAAAAATGACACTTACAAACGATGTGATGTAGGTAGGGGTGCAAACGAGTCAAGCCGGCTCATGAGCAGACTCGAGCTCTACTCGTTAACGAGCTCGTGAGTCGAGCTTATCGAGCTTCGAGCTCGAGTTCGAGCTCAATTTCGAGCTCGATGTATTAACGAGCTCAAGTTTTGTAACGTCCCAGATATCAATAGTGAAAGGATTCATCTGACATTCTTTTACCATATTCTTTTTTTTTATCTTTTATCTCTTTTTTATCTCTTTCTTCTCGTTCAGATCAATACAGTCATCCAGAGATAATTGCATTACAGAAAAGAAATACAACATCTACTATAATCCACATATCAACATATACACAGTCCAAAGAGAGTCCAAAAGAATATGTACATTAGCCATACGGCTACAAAACAAAAGCCTACCAAGGGCTACAAAAACAAAGCTACAGCGATCGAAGAAGCTTCACGCGGAAGGCTCTGCACCTGAAATATTAACCACATATAATGAGCTTAAATACCCCAGCAGGTCACCAAAGCCTACAACTGAAATCAAAGCACGACACTGAAAACAATATGCAGGTCCATCAAATCAAGTCAAATCAATCGGTCGTACATGATCAATGAATCAATGCAGATACGGAAATCAATACGGGATAGAAGTCGATAAAATCAATGAACAGTAGGGAATCCATAAAGCTCAAGAAATCAATGCGTGTATCAAATCTCTACAATCTCTATCATAGCAATCGATAACATCAATTACATCAATACGATCGTCTAGCCATCTTATCTATCGTATCAATTTATAACATCAGTCAAATCAATAGAATGGAATCGTATCAGAACATACACTTGCAAATCAATCTATCGTTCAATCTCACTTACTTCCTGTCAGTACGGCAGCGTATATATCAATATCCATAAAGAGGACAATTCATTGACGACCACGAACGATGCTACAACAGTGAAACCGCGTCAATCAATTCAGCAAAGAAATTACTTCCGGTCAATAATATCCATCGGCTCAAAATCTCAATAAACGATCAAATCAATACAGCAAAAGAGCAGGATCAATACAATCGGCAAATACAATTGAAATCAATCAATGCAATAAAATCATATACAACAATCAAATCGATAAATCAATAAACAATCAATCCAATCAATCAATCAATCAATCAATCAATGATCGATTCAATCAATCAATCAATCAATCAATCAATGATCGATACTATGAATCAATGCATCAGTGGATCTATAGTATCAGTATCCGTATCAGTAGTATCAAACATGTCCGTGAATCAATAAATCCATAATATCGATGAATCAATAATGTCGGTATCTATATCCACAAATCAATACAACATCCATATCCATAGCGGTGTCGGTATCCATGAATCAATACAACATCCATATCAATGTCGGTATCCAGTGACAAGGGTATCATGCAATATCAATGAAATCGTACAGTAATGATAATTTCGTAAATCTATAAATCCGTCAATAAAATCCAATCAGTAATAAGT